AATCATTGGAGCATCTACGGGATGTTATCGAATAGTTTATTTAGATTCGAAACAAAATTATAGTAGTTATGAGCTAATGAATAATAATTAATGAATGATATACGAACATAAAAGAAAGAACAAATAATATGTTTACGACCAATAGGAATCACCGTAGAGGTCGCCCATACTCATTTTCTGATTCTCCATAGCCGAGTACCCACTGCTTATCATTTTCATCCATTAATGCGGAAATTATGTTTTCGACCAATAGGAATCACCGTAGAGGTCGCTCATACTCATTTTCTGATTCCCGATAGTGGACTACCTACTGCATATCATTATCAGCCAATCAACGTCTGCTGTACTAGTTTGTCTGTCGCTAGTATCTAGTCTGCGGACATACAAACAAAGATATAAACATACATACAGGCATTTTAACTCGATAAGACCCTTTGCTTTACAGTCAAGGGAATATAGATAGATACGATTTTCAAAGAAGTTTTTCTTTATTATCTAGCATCAGTAGTTTCCATTTCCTGCAATATTATTAAAAAGGAAAGTGAATAGCAAAATGCAGTTTCTTTTCTCACAAACGAACATATTCTGAGAAAGTAATCTTGTCCTCCTTTTTTCTTCTGCAGGATCTTGGCTTCAAGCCTTTTACATTCGTTCTCAACAAAAAAACAGAGGTTATCTTACATATATTAAACAACTGAGTCTAACACAGAAGCCGCACATCGGATTATGTCACGATTACTTTTTTTCTCATGCATACTAAAAAAGAAAAGTTCTTCTGAAAAAGTGATATACACCATGATACTCTGAGTGCTACAGCAGAAATATTTGAAAGCATCAAAATGTATTCGTTTGTTCTACCAAATTGTGTGTATTTCGCTTTTGGTCTACTTGCGACACGCTTATTGGAATGTCTAATAAAGAACCTGTCTAAGAAGGTTTCTGACTGGCTGAACACAGCGGAAGGGCGAGTAGAAATCCTCATATTCTAAGCTATATCAAAAATTTTGTTATTTTCGATTTATTTTGACGGTTAGTAACTGCATCGCAAAATTCTGCTTTTCTCTTTCTATTTAAATTAATATCATGCAAAGCATTCAGTTGACGTATATGATGATATGATTGTTTTAAAGCGACTAAAACGATGGGAAAAGGGAACAACTAAACGATGAATCGGTTGTTCTAATTGATCATTATTTAGAGAAATATAAGCAAGAGTAAACGATGTCTCGATAAGTCTGTACACACAAATTGATTAATCCAATTATATAAATTAAAGATCTTACACTTGAACATTATAATCAGTTTGTATGACAATGATACATGAAAATTGTGTGGTTTACACGATTTACTGTCCGCGGATTTACTGTCTGTTGATTAATTTCTGTTTTAATTAGCTTTTTCCATAGAAAAGTATAATTTTCTTATATACGGATTTACTTTCCGTTGATTATATAGAAATATATCTCAGTTAGCCACTTTTTTATATAAGGATTTAGTTTCCACTAATTATTTGGACCAAAAGCAATGAATGAGCAAATGAATATTCATGGTGACAACGAATGTATTATGAGAAAAAAAATATATTATTGGTGTTTATTAGTATGTTTATTAGTAAAACGAAAAAAGATATTTTTTTAACTTTTTGATGGACGTTGAAAATATCTCATACCGGCAGCTTTCAAGAACGCTGGAATGTCAATACGACCGTCATCATAACGTTGCCATAATTTCATTAGACATTCATCTGTTATAACTTTGTTTTTTCGACGTTTTGGAGCTGGAGCGCCTATACCATCTCGTACTCGTGCAATCGATGCTAGTGATTGTTCCTTTTGGAGTAAATCAATAGCAATATAAATGTTTGGATGAGGTGAACTTACGTGTTTTTTCATTCGAGAATGTCGACCTTTCAAATAGTTAATTGTTCGAGGTGTTATATTACGATAATGGTTATACATATGAGGCGGAAATCGACTGAATGGTCCATATGTATTATGATAATAATCAATAAATCCTCGAATACCTGGATAGTCTGGTTGCGTACGAATTAGGTACTGTAAACCCCATAACATATGCTTTAATGGTAATAACGATAATGCTGCAAAAGATCTGAACCAATCACGTAGGTTTTCATCATCTTTGTATTGTGTTTTTAAACCAAGATCAACAAATTTACGATATAGACTTTGTCCAAAATGAAATAAACAACCTCTAACAATAATACTTGGGTAATACTTGGTAAATACACTGGAAACACCTAATTCAAAATCAATTGTAATAGTTCGTAACTTGATAACTAACTGGAATGCGGACATTTTTCTGAAAAGTACTGAAAACAAATCAACATAAGTTTCTTCTGACTTACCTCCAAGTAACGCGAAAACGCATGGGGTTGACATTCCATCGTGATATGCATGAATCAAATATATTTGATAAAAAATGGATGGACATGTATAAAATGTACCATCACTGTACCAGTGTTCTTGTTGTGATAGACAAACGATATCATTATAGGACGCAAAAACGAGTGAACGAGTACCACCAAGTGACCCATCATATAATAAAAATAACTCACTCTTTGTTGTTTTGCAATAAACGTCGGGTAATGGATACGGAAGTTGTTCAATCGATTGGGGAATTGGTGGGCGAGTCTTACGACGTTGTTTTTGTAATGTATTTTTCATTATACGAATCGACGGTAAGCTAATAATCAAATCACTGGATTGAGACTGACGATTAGCGGCGTGGTATGCTTCTTCGACTATACGATCTATTGGGCCAGATTCTTTCATAACTTTACGTTTTAAAGTTTTTCTAATTTGTAATATTTCCATATCAGTTCCATCAGGTAAATGTGTATGATCGTCACGCACTACGACCGACGAGTCCGAATAACTTGTTGCCGTGGAGTTACGCTTCACACATACCCAATACTCTGAATCATTTTGGTTTTTACGTTTGAGAGAATATCGATAACCGAGGTAACATAATTGTCTTTTGCCATGTGTAGATTCAACAAATTCAGCAAACACTATTAAAACTTCTTCTGACTTACCAGACATTATTAAAACAGTGTGAAAAGAGAGTGGTATATCTGTACCTTTTATACATATTTTTATGAAGGTTATCATGTTATCGCGACTACTCTACTTCCCAAATAAGTATTAAAAATTAATCAATTTGGTTCATCATTCCCTTATTGATGAATGTTTGCTCTGCTTGGAAATTTATTCGTTGTCGCAATGAATATCAGTGGATAATTAGTGGAAATTAAATCCTTATATAAAAAAGTGGCTAATTGAGATATATTTATATCTAATCAACGGAAAGTAAATCCGTATATAAGAAAATTATACTTTTCTATGAAAAAAAGCTAATTAAAATAGAAATTAATCAACAGACAGTAAATCGTGCACTCGAAATTGTATATATAAATGCATGTATGGAACAAGGATCACCACAATCAATAAAATAATTTTTCACAAATGTCCTACGACGACAATCAAATTTCAAGTCCGGTTGTTAAACGAAGGCGCAGAACTACTACATCATCGTCATCCAGTACTTCACAACCGCTTAATACAATAAGTACCGCAGCAACATTCTCTTCTCCATCTGGATCTACAATCTCGCGAGATACGCCGTTAACAAGAAAGAAACGTAGTGTCGCCTGGCGTTATTTTAACCAGAATGGAAATGATTCATCGCAATGTATATGTAATTTATGCAAAGTCGAAATAAAACGTTACGGTAAGTACATATAGCTTAGTTTTATTTTATTTTTCCAACTCATATCCATCATGCTGTTTCTTTTCCATTTCGATCTGATTATATAATTAACTGGGGCCTTTGCATGCGTAATGGGCGAAAAATTGTATACCTGAGTTTGCCCAAAATTTATTTCTCTTCATCAGGATCACATAATGCTTGTATTTAAACTCGCGCGATAACTGCTTTAACCATATTGATGATCCAACATATATCATGACTTTTAGGTAATGGTACTAGTGCTTTGCTAGAACACCTCTCATTAAAACATTCCAATGAATATAAAAAGTTGTCGACTCGTTTAATATAGTGTATGACTACACGTTCTACAGCCGTTTCATCACTACTTATAACTATAACTGACTACTAGACACTAACTATAGCTGATGTATATGTAAAAGAGAGCAAGCGGACGAACAAAAAAGAGAGAACGTTAAGTTGACCTTCCAGTTCTATAACACACATATCACACAGACGAAGAAGAACAGAGAAGAAAGGAAAGAGAAGTGTGCAACGTCCCTTCTGCATGAAGCGAGGAATAGTGCCTTATATCTGTAGATATAACACCTTCCCCTTTCCGGCGTTTTCAGAATACAGAGAACTAAACTGGTAAGGCAAGGTATAAGGAAGAGATGACAATGACTGTATGTGGGGTGGCTTTAAAAACGGTGGCCAAAACGTTGAACATAGTGTTCGTCTGTGAAAAGATGATCATGTAATCTCTGTTCAAACTGAGTTCGTTGTTCTTCGGCGAAGAGAGCAATTGATAATGTCATCTTCCCGTCTATGAATTGTTTGTTGATTGGTTTTCTTAAATCGCAGAGCAAGTCCGCGAAGCATATCTTTGAGTTCCTGAATTGAGTTTTGAGTTTTCATAGACTTCACGATGGACACAGTACTGGTGATCTTTTGAATGACATTTTAGGGAATTCTTGATGTTTTTCAGTTTCTTATTATGTGCAGAAGTACAAGAGTATAAGGAATTTTAAGGGGTCAGATTCTGTGGTACTGGTGGGTGTTGATGATTAAAAGACTGCGGAGTTGGTTGAAGGACCGATGGAACTGGCGGCGGCGAAGTCCAACGTCCATGTTTTGGAGTAGTTGAGGAGGATGTGTGAGGAGATGGTGTTTGGGAATAGCGACGATGAGAAGTAAGGGATGGAGGAGATGTTGAACGGTTAAGATAAGCAGCTGGAGAAACTTGTGGTTGGAGAGCATCGAAGTGACTGTAGATTGATCTATCTTGTCCTTCATCAGAAAGATGCATTTTATCAGATTTCTAAGATGTCTGTCTTGAATGCCACAGTCCAGAATAGAAAATTGTAATTGTCTTGACAAATTGTACAATAAATTGTTGTAGGTGCTGATGTTCTTTTGTAACAAATCTACGGGGAATGGTTTTGTTTCTCGCTGACATGGAAAGCAGCGAGTGACAATCAAATGGGAGTGGGATGACTGAGGGTGCTGTTCTTGAATCTTGTTAACTGTTTGCCACACATGTCGAATAGCACGAAATGATTCTACATTTCGCACAGTATTTGTGCCAATTGCAAGTAAAACTGCAGCAGATGAAGCTATAGATTGTACATTTTCTGGTTTATTGATGATAGTTTCAACAGATAACCGATTATCATATTGATCAAACCACTGTAATCCTCTAATAATGCCAATATGTATATCATAATGTTGTCGACGAATACGTTTGGGCAAATATTGAAGATGGCTATCAGCAATGATCGTATAGATTGGACGTTGAGTCATCACTGTTGATTCGGAAATTTCGAAAAACTCGGAAGTTGGAATGGTTTGAGAATCACTTAATAAGTTGTCACTGAATGCTAAGAGATTAACAGATGGTACAACCGTGGGGCCGAAAAAAACTCGGTCTCTCACCGGCGTGGGTACAACTACTAATGTAGGTTCACTACTATGAATTACTGTTCCTTGACTTTCACATGGTGCTCCTGGAGGCGTAATGGGTTCCGTGTCTGGAATATAAATCACTGGGTCAATTGTCACTGTTCTTACATGAGATAAAACTGGAGTTGTTGCTGAACTAGATGTGGATGATGTTTGGGTAGTTGGGACGATATCAAACATTGAACTCCGCTGTGATTTTTCCTTACTGTCTTTATGCAGATCTTGATGGAACTTTATAAACCAGACTGAGATGACGTCGTAGATTGCATAGGATTCTAACTGTCTGCGTATGTTTCTTTGTTTGTTTCGCTCAGTATAATCTTGGAATTTCCAGGTGTTTAACTGGAGGTCTATCCCACCGGCCCAGTGTGAACATGTAGGGGATTTGGTACAAGTGAAATTCCAAGGCCAACGCTTTGCAGCAGCTTCGAGCTATTTAGCTGATTCGGTTGTTTATATGGTCTAAATGAATAGGTACATAAGGGATGATCAGCTAAGTTGCCATCTTCTAAATCTTCATGAGGTGTTGCCGTTAACAAATAATCATCTTCAGCCATATAATTTTCGAACAACTGAAGAGCAGGACATTCAGGAAGGTGGGGATGGTGTTCATTATAATACGTTCTGAAAGTTATTTGTACATTTGTAGTATGAATGATATTAGATAGACTAAATAATTTCAGATCCCTAAACTTTGACAGTTCCTCTTTACAATCGTACCATGAGTAGAAGTGATTATCTCGATGAAATCTAATGCCACATAATTCTTCTATTTTTACACGAAACTGGGTTTCGCCGGCTGGCAAGAATTGGGTTTCTATGATTATTGGAAACAAGGGTGATGGTGGAGATGTTTCTGGAAGAGGCAGAACTTGGATGAGACAAGGGTTTTGTGTATCAATATCATTCTCAGTATCGATGGCGTAATGTTTGATATGCGCACATTTATCTATCAGATCTTGTAGAAAACGTATGGATGTTTCTGTATTCAAATAATAAACATCTCGACCTAGTGTAAATGCTGGGACTGATGATGCAATACGACTTAAAGAATCTGTGGAGCCGAAAGGAACTCGGTCCTCAACGGGTAAACTAAAGAGGTGTAAATGTGAATAAAGTCTATTCTTTCCCTTCGATCACTGAAGAATTTCGTTTTGATTTGGTGTAACATCTTGATCCTAAAAGAGCATTCAATAGGCAGTCCGGTAATGTCAATTTGGTGACGTAAAATAAAGAGCTCAATAGAATACGGAAGTTAATAAAAGCAAGATACATCACTAGTAGCTCTTTGACCAGAGACGCTGGTGTTAATATTTAGAGAACTTGTTGCTCTAGCACGAGACGCAGATCGTTAACGTGAACTCGTGCTATAGCTGTAGTCTCTACTTGTTGTACCCAGTAGACTGGATGTTGAACTTCAATGATTCTAGCTGGAAATTTAGAATACTTTCCACTTAAGTTGTTTCTAATGCCATGGTATCTGGTTGACACTAAATCACCAACTTTATAGTGGGGATCTTGACGGTTACGATCATATCTCTGTTTAGACAACTGTTGATTACGTATAATATTTTCACGCGCAATTTTATGATAAATTTCTAAATTCTTTTGCAGTTGATAGAAATAATCACATCGTTTATTGAAGATCACGGTTGGTGGAGCTTGATCTGGTGGCAGTCGAGGTGCGCGACCGTATTGTAATTGAAATGGACTATATTTAGTGGAAAAATGTATTATAAGCAAACACGACCGACGGAAGAAACTCGTCCCAGTTGTTTGCTTCTTCATCTTGAAGTTTTGCAAGCTGTGGGACAAACGTTGCGTTAAACCTTTCAACACAACCGTTTGTCTGTGGATGATATGTTGTTGAGTATATATGGTTGTGGCCGAGTGATTGAGTCAATGCTGTCATCAATTGGTTCTGAAAATGAGATCCATTATCGGATAAAATCGTTGTTGGTACTCCATATTTACATATGTATTCGTCATACAGAGCCTGTGCGGTTGATTGTGCACTGCAGTCTGCTAGTGCTACTGCCGTAACCCATTTACTAAAGTGGTCTGTTATACACAAAACGTATCTGTTCTCACTTGGTGTTCTTAAGAAAGGTCCACAGAAGTCGATACCTATGACTTGGAATGGTCCAAAAGGTGGTTCAATTGGATGCATATGACCAGGCTTTTTTTGACGACTATAATTATTCTGTTTACATTTCATGCAGGACTCAATATACTCCACTATTGTTTGTTGCATATTTGGCCACCAATATTTATATTTCATTTTGTCGTATGTTCTTTGACTGCCAAAGTGCCCGGACAACGGATGATCATGATAAAAATTAAGAGCTGGTCTGATCATTGATTTTGGAAGATAATTGAGCTTTGACACAGTTTTACCACCATCTCTCGACTGAAGTTTATATAAGACGCTATCTTCAAGCAAATACGGATGCTTTGTGGGATTCTTTTGAATTTCGACTAACTTCTTCCGTATTTCAGGGTCTTGCCGCTGTTCTTCAATCAAACGTGTTATATCCAGATGATGTGGCAGAACCTTGTATGTTGTTGGTTCAATCTCCTGAGGTTTAGGGTCATGCATTTCTTCTTCCGTTTCCGTCTCTGACTGACCTGCGGTTGTCTGTGCTTGTTCTTTCTTGGCTGTCGATCTTGTTATTACACCGACCACATCGGCAAGCGTGGAGCCGTAAGAAACTCGGTCTCCATCGTGAGGATGTGGTTCAAGAACTTCTAAACCATACTCAATTTCCATCAATTCATCTGTGACATCGATTGGATTTCTTGACAAATAATCCGGGAGACAGTTATGTCTACCTTTCACATGAATAACTTGGGTAATGTGGTATTCTTGAAGGAGTAGAGCAATTCGATCAACTCTTTTATTTTTCACATTCTTTGTCATCATACTACAGAGAAGACAGTGGTCTGTGAACAAAATGATTGGTCTACTTTGAATATATGGGCGCATACGCTCAAAACACTTATATATAGCTAATGCTTCGGATTCTATTGTATCATAATGTTGTTCAGCTTTAGTTGTTGACTGGGAATGATAATATAGGTTAAACCTCTGTCCATTGATTTCTTGAAACAATACTCCGCCTAGTCCAATTTTTGATGCATCAGTTTCTAGTCTTAAGGATTCACTATCATCTGGAAATTCCAGTGAGAGTGGTTCTGTTATTATAAGTTTCTTCAATGCTCTAAAAGAGTCTGACTGTGGTTGCTTCCATTTAAATTTGTGTTTATGTGCCTGCGTCAAATTTGTGACGGTATGTATTGGTGCTGCAATGTCAGCAAACATTGGGATGAACTTCCTGTACCAAGAAATGCCGCCAATAAATCGGTTTGCTTCTCTGAGCGTACGTGGTTCTTTTAAATCGAGAATTGCTTTGATCTTATCATTCAGCGGTGTTATAGATGTAGCAGTGATGGTATGGCCGAGATAATCAATTGGTTGGCGGGCAAGAGAACATTTTGGAGGATTGATTTTCAAATTATTAGCACTCAGTTTTTGTAGAACTTCGTGTACATGTATAATGTGTTCTTCGATTGTCTTAGAGAAAATAATAATATCATCTAAATATACTTGTGAAAAATGACGCCACGGTTCCAATACATTATTCATAACTCGCTGAAAAGTAGGGGGCGAGTTACGAAGGCCTTGTGCTAACACATTGAGCTGGTATAACCCAAATGGTGTGATAAATGCAGTCCTTCGGCGATCATCAGGCCGAATGGGGATCTGCCAAAATCCACTTTTCAAATCGATTTTTGTAAAGTATTTGTATCCCTCGCCTGGACGTTGAATTGTTTGTTCGATATTTGGTAAAGGATATTGATCATGAATGGTGACATTATTAAGTTGTTTGTAATCGACTACTAGACCCGAAGTATTATCCGTTTTAGTTGTGAGTAAAACTGGTGAGGCATACTCTGATTTCTTCACCGGGACGTATCTTTACTGACTGTGTCAATCTCATAGGTACTTTCACTAGTTGATTTGGTTTTTCCACAGATACAGTCACATACATATGTCCTTTATGAATAGTTATAATTCCACTACCAGCATCAATTTGTAAAGAATACTTCGTTATATAGTCCGTTCCAATAATACAATCTGTGACCAACGTTTTCACTACTACGGCAGTGAGTTTTGTATACATATTATCAACTTTTATACTCAGTTCAACTGTACCAACTACTTTAAGGTAAGAAGAGCCATCAGCCATTGCTAACTTGTGCTTGTGGGAATTTGTGCTTGTGCTGATGAATTTCTGATGTGTTGTTTTGTTCAAGGTTTCTTCTGTGATAATGGTGTTTGTGGCTCCGGTGTCTAGCATTATTTTCATCTTACGATTGTTGACTTGAACGGAAAGGAAAAGTAATGATGGATTACAAAAGTCTTCGGGCCATCACCATCAATCAATGACGCCACTGCTCGAAATCCTGTCGTTCACGGCAGTTTCGGGCATAGTGTTCAAGTGACCCACAAATATGACAACCCGAATAGTGTGAATATGAGCCGCGATTATTGGAATTTTCAAATACTTGTCCTTTACTCAGTGGTTTTTGTGCATTGGACACTGGAACTGCAGGTTGAGAAGTAACTGCCTGTTGTAGAGCAGCTGGCGTTGGATGAGTTTGAGCGGTATCTGAACGTATCTGCTCTTGTGGTCGTTGGTGTGTGGGCCATCGTCGCTGAGGTGGCAAATAGATAGCTTGAGCCTCTTTCTGTAGTTCAAACAAAGCTACTTGTTCAAAAGATATAGCATGATACAAGAAGTCAGCACAAGTTTTTGGATCGTTTTCCATAATCTTTACTTTCAGAGAAGGCTTTACAACAGTACCATTCGAACGTACATTTTCAACCGCTGGTTATGTGATAAACAATCGTCGTTCTCGTTTAACACAAACTAATGTCAATCAAATGATCTTTATAAACAAAAATCGAGATTGGAACTTTGATGTGAAAAGTACCCACACTCTATCTGCTGACACTGCATGCACATTTTTTGAAGTCACGTTTGTTTCCATTTCAACTAAAACACGTGTTCCATATTTTTATCATTAATAGATAGATGCAGCTGAATCACAAAACAATTTGAACAATCAATCGTTATCATAGGACATGTGACAAACGATGTATCATGACTAAATGTAAATGACACATTGATATGTCAGCTGCTAAAACAATAAAGTAACCGCGAGAAACAGAAAAGGAAAATAATTGTTAAAGAAATGAATCCTTAACAAGAATAATCGTTTGAACCGACATAGTACTCATACATAGAGTCAACGATGAGTCATTTCCATATATATATAAGTAAACGATACATTCTAAAGAATACAAAAAGAAAGTTGTCGACTAGTTTCATATAGTGTATGACTACACGTTCTACAGCCGTTTCATCATTACTTATACCTATAACTGACTACTAGACACTAACTTTAACTGATGTATATATAAAAGAGAGCAAGCGGACGAACAAAAAAGAGAGAACGTTAAGTTGACCTTCCAGTTCTATAACACACATATCACACAGACGAAGAAGAACAGAGAAGAAAGGAAAGAGAAGTGTGCAACGTCCCTTCTGCATGAAGCGAGGCATAGTGCCTTATATCTGTAGATATAACATTTTCAAGTTTTATTCTTGAACATGAACTTTGTTTAGTTGAAAACGTCGAATATTAATAAAACTAAATAATGAAGTGAAGTAGCGCTGATGTTATCGTACCTTTCATTTCAAAGAAAATGGAAGCGTTTTTG